ATGCAAGCAACCACCTTAGCATAAATCACGAAAGCTTCAGAATACATCAAAATCTGGTAACCAAATGCATAACAATTTTCAGGCAACAACCATGCACATGACAAACATTCAGTTTGCAATGTTGCCGATAATATTTGTTTAACACGTACTATCATACGTGTTCTTTTTGTTGTATTCCAAATTCCAATGGCTTTCATAGAAAAAATATGATTATCTTTTTATCTCGATTTTTAAAATTTGTGCTTGTAGGATTTTCCTACAATAGAAAAGAGAGGTGAAATTTCTACAAGAATGCATTATTATGCCCCAAAACTGCTAAAGGAACAGTGCTCTTAAGTCTTTCTCAATACGATCATTACATTACGAAATTTTCACCAAAACCAAAACAAAAAACCATCTGTAACTTGGTTGAGTGACTGTCTTTTAGAATAAATATATAATTGAAAAATATAATATGTAATTTTTTACAATAAAAGCAATTGCTCATTTTCTTCTGTGAAATTAGCCCAAAGTGGTTGCAATAATATGTAACCCATTATTGCAATAATGGGCACATACATATTACAATATAATGCACATATACATGTTATTGCAATAATATGTATATGTGGTGGCAATAATATGTACCCCATCAACATACTTTTTTAGCAATTAATATACTTTTCCCGAACACAAAACTATGCATTTCAAAGTGTTGCATAATTGTTCTCCATGATATAATTACTGCAATATAATTTTTAGCACTCGATAAAAATAGATATCTAAATCTTTCAGATTCCCCTTTCTCTTATTTTAAATTTTTTAAATTTGTGCTAAGTTCGTGGTTCCCACCTCTTTCTTAAATTTCTATCTTGATTGGTCTTCAAGAAACTTGTCTCAAAATCAAAAGTTTGTTTTAGGTAATTCGGCAAAGCCTTGAGGGCTATCTGCCTAAGGAGAGAGATGTCTTCGTGGAGGACTTTCTTACGGAAACTGTGTCATATACACGTTACACATGGGGAAAACCATGATTTTTCCCACTATTTTTCTGCTTTCATCCACTGATTGAAATCAGTTGTTACATTTTAGTTGAATATGAACATATTGTAATTCTTTTTGGCTAATCTTTGGAATATGGTAACAGGTAGTTTGGCGACATTTTGGAGGCGATAAAGGTTACTACCTAGGACTTTGGGAATAATGTGAGAAGTACTCAGTTCCGATTACGCATTATTTTGTGTGAGAGAAATGAGGGTACTTACGTATTATCGCAACCAGGTTGGCGCGATTTGTAAGTTTGAGTAAAAAGGTATGAATAGAAAGAAAATGCACATTTATTAATTACAGATAATTTTTAATACAGTTTTTTATATTATTTTGTTTTAAAATATAAAATAGCAATTAAACCCTTCCGGTTTCGAATTTGAATAAGTTGCAGAATTATTTTTTCGGTGGAAATCTTTTGGCTATTGCTTTTAGCAGTGATTGAAAACCGTATTCGCCATAACCATGTACACGTCGACTTATTTTTACTTAAAAAAAATCCCAGAATTGCACAAAAATGGCACTGCGCACACTCTTGACTTTATCCATCTACACTGCTATTTTCTCATAAATTACAAAAATTTGCACGAAAATGCAGGAAAATTTTGTGAATCTCCACTTGCTCTTTTTACAAAACTACGTACAACACGTAGTAGGGTGCCGTAAGTAGGGTGGCCAAATTTGGCAATTTATGCGAATTTTGGCCTGGTTGCGTTAATACGTAAGTACCATGAGAGATCAGGAGATATGTCATAAGACATTAATGGACAAATCACTGTTCTTTAATTGGAAAAAGGGGTAAATTTGTAAAAATATCTGTTGTACTTTACAGCAGTAGTTTCATTCTATGTTCTGTGAAACAGTGTTGTTTAATATTTGGATCCCATGGCCCTATATAAAATAAATCAGAAATTTTTATTGCATTTATGTGTAATTGAAAAGAATTGCTTAATTGCGGATAAATATGAATGTCCAATATGTGGGAATGAAATGAGATTGTGTAAAAGGAAGGATATTACAGATAAGTTTGAATGGCGGTGCAAGAAACCTGGTCAAAATGGACATTTTGTGATACACCATGCACTCAAGATTCTGTAGAAGATTAGGTAAGTTAGTATTTTTAATTATTTGAGGATATTATTTTTATGCATTGTTCTAAATGTAAGGAGTAAATAAATTAATATGGTATTATTGGAAAATTGTTTATTAGCAATGAATTAGTTTAAAGTAATTAAGGATTTGTAAGCTAATTTTTATTAATTTAATGTATGTGCTTATTTATATTTTAAGTAGTGTTTTTTAATTTAATTATATTTTAATTTAATGATCGTGATTTTGAGTTATATGTTTGTAGTATTTTGGAATACGTTTGAGTAGAAGTAAATGTGCATGGAAAGAATTTAAGTATTTGACACTAAATATTTGGAACCATTTTTAATGTTTGCGTTATATATTGGCAGGTGAGGTTTATAATAGATAATTTAGAGGGAAAAGTTTTTGGATGTTTTATTTATTTTATACGTGCAAATGTTCATATTTGGAAAGGGTATATACTTTTTCACGATCAAGTAATTTCATATATGTCCTTTTTACTGAATTTAAAGATTCACAAAATTTTCATGCATTTTCGTGAAATTTTTCTAATTTATGAGAAAAAAGCAGTGTACATGGATATAGTGAAGAGTGTGCACAATGCCATTTTTGTGCAATTCTGGGATGTTTTTTTAAGTAAAAGTAGGTTGATGTGTACATGGTTTAATTATATTTTAATTAAATGATAGTTATTTTGTGAATTATATGTTTGTAGCAATTTGGTATACATTTGAGTGGGAAGTAGACGTGCATGGAAATAATTTAAATATTTGACACTAAGTATTTGTAACCATTTTCAATGTTTTGTTATGAATTCGTTGATGACATTTATAATAGATAATTTAGAGGTAAAAGTTTTTTTGATATTTTATTTATATTATACGTGGAAATGTTCATCCTTGGATAGGGTATATACTTTTTTGCGATCAGGTTATTTCATATATGTGCTTTTTACCAAGTTTAAAGATTCAGAAAATTTTCCTGCATTTTCGTGCAAATTTTTGTGATTTATGAGAAAATAGCAATGCAGATGGATAAAGTCAAGAGTGTGCACAATGCCATTTTTGTGCAATTCTGGGATGTTTTTTTAAGTAAAAATAAATCGACGTGTACATGGTTACTGTGTATGTGCGATTTTGAAAAACGCGGCAAGGAGTTTGCGATTTTGCACTTTTTCCCAATTTTGCAGTTAATGTTTGTCATGATTAAGCAGTTTTGTTCCATAAAATTTCTAGCATAAGTGTAATTTGGCTACCAGATTGTTGGAAAAAGTGTTGAGTAAATAAAAAGAAAAGAAACATGTTTTTAGAAGACAAAATGGCGGTGAAAAAAAAAATAGAGGGTTGCTGTAGCAGTATTGGTCGCGAAATTTTCGCCAAGTTACCATAATCCAAAAATTAACCTTTTTTTTTTTTTTTAATCTAATGGTGGACATATGCCTATTCAACATTGGTCACTCCTAAGGCCAGAAATAGTGGCCATTTCATTGTAGAGACCTAACAGGTGGCTACTGCTGCCTCCTCTGAAAGCCACCTCTGCCACCACGCCTTCTCCGAGATTCAGATACCGCCCTTCGGTATCGCAGTCAGCTCCCCTACTCCACTATACAATCTGACTGACCAGTTGCAAAAGTAAGATGGAGGAAGAAAAAGTGTTTTCAAGAAAAAATATAGTTGTGATTGTCCAGTTCTTGAAGCACCAAAAGAAAAATGAAAATCTGCAGAAACATGCAATTACATTAGCTGAAACAATATTTATGTGCAACAGAATGACCATATCAAAGAATATGGAAATATGCTTCTGAAAATAATTGTCAAGGTGAATCTTATTCTAATGTTGATTCTTTGAAAAAAGAAAACTGTAGATGTAAATGCAAAGATTATGGAGAAAAACTTGCACATAATCTCACTATAGAAGAGGCAACATAGAAGCAATAAACTTAAACTATAATAAATTATACTATTTCCGCAGAAATACTGGATAATACATTTCTGTCACTTCAACAAGTTATGCTGGAAAGAATGAGGAACAATGGCTCTAAAATTTTAAGCTCACACATACAGGGAAAGCAAAGCTTCATAGCCCTGGAATCCTACCTACAAGTTTAAAATGCAGTAATGAAATTATTTAAAAATGCAAAAATTATCTGAACATTGGAAATAAACATTAGGAGTAATACTTTTAATTTATTGTTTAACCTACTTTGCTACTATTATATAGCACAAATTAAATTCATCCACTGCTACAATGGAACATTATGAAATAGAAGAAATATATATCCATTAAAAATAACTCATCGTGGCTAATTTGTTCTACCAAGAAATTAGAATATTAAACACAATCATTAATATTTGAATGTATGCCATCCATCCTCACTACTTAGTAGTTAGCAGAAACCGACTGCAATCCAAATTCCATAATGCAGGTTCAATTCCTGCATAAGGCTTGGTCATTATCTGTGCCCTTCCTCTCCCCCTCTGCTTGAAGATACAATGTTGTCCTATTTCTTGTGGTATATGAAGCAAGGACAAATGCTCTTGGTGACAAAATGACTAGATGATCAAATTCAGCCATTCCTGGAAAATTAGCCCAGGCCTGACCACTGGAGAAAAAACACCTGAATATTATATATCCTGCAAACAGGTTCATTTATTTATTATGGTAAAACATTCAAAAGATACATCAGTGTTTTCCAAACTGTGCTCTACAAAAAATTTTGGAACTGAGATTAAAGAACAACAAAACATTGCCTGTTTTTGTGTATTTAACACAATTTAAAACAACTTATAAAAGAAATTGAAAGACAAAACAAAATGGTTTAAATCATACATGTAATACAAACAGAAGGCAATTTTAAGACTCTTGGAAAGAAATAGTCGTCTTACCTTGTAGATGGCTTCAGGGCTGTCTGTTATTCCATGTATAAGATTAAACAGCTGAAAACACCTGTAAAAGTTGGAATTAAGTTAAGACTTTATTTGGGCTTGTTTGTAGCATTTGTTTATTTTTTAATATGCCCTCATTAACATAAAGTTACAATAAATGAAACATAACTTACTCAAACAAATTTCTTGATGTAGAATAAGAAAAATTCAAATACGATTGACTGATATTTTCCTTTTCTTTTTTCAATTCAATTAATTTACGAACAGTATTTTCACTGAGAGACCCATTCAAATGGGCATGAAGTTCCTGAAAATCGATAGAAATAAACTCTAATAAAACAAGTGAAATGTTTTATATACAATACATTAACAAAATAATTTGATATATGAAAATATACGCAATATATACGTAAATATACTATAAATATTTATTTCTGCAGCACTGAACTATATTAAATCAAGGATATTTAGTGTTATATTACATGAGTACTCTCTTGATGTCATGTACTTGAGGAACTATTTTGGGGTACATCAAAGCTGTACCGTACTTGATTATAACTTTAAATTAGAAAATTACAGAAATAACGAAAATTTTTCTCATCTGATCAGCATTGAATGCCTTTCCGTAAATAATACTTACTACCTTCGGCATACTTTTAAAGTAATCCACCAAGGGTTCGCCAGAGCCTCCGGAATCCATATTCACTATTTAAATTTCTTTAGAAGCAATAAAATACTGACAAAGTCAATTTCCCCCTGAATTTTCAACGTCGCACATGAAGTTAACTGCTTTTAAAACATTCACTCCTGTTCCGAACGCAAAACGTCTGCTTCAATTGTGTGGCGCCATCTGTAGAACTTTTACGTATATTAACTTTATAACACTGATCTAATTTTGATAACACCAGGGATGTTATGTATCCTGTATTTTCATAGAAGGCAAATTGTTAAAGGCGAAATTTGAAAAACATCTGTGTTAATGTATGGGAATTAACACTGCGCATACTAAATTATTAGTTAATATGTATTTATCTATTAACACATAAATAAAATTATTAATAATAAAAATTTAAAACTAACTAGTTGTAGTCTCCTCTGAGTACATAAAATCTATTAATATTTATATAAATAATTTATACTGAAGATACACGAGTTATTTTTTTATGGAAATTACAATATACACCTGAGCTCTATGGTGTAATCAAAAGTCTAAAAATTACACTCATTACAATTAAAATTAAAATGATCTGAATATAAGTCTTGCCCTTCTATTTTGAATAGAAAAAAATTTATATCAACATCTTCATAAATAAGAGCCATGTTTTAACTCTTAAAAGTTGTTTCTCGGCGAATAAATCCAAGCTGCATGCTTGGGTTTCGTGATTTTCCTTCATGAGTAACATGAATAGGAGCTAATTTCCCTTAGAAAGTCTTCCACGAACGCTTCCTTCCTCTCAGGCAGATGGTCTTCGTCAATTTGCCATACTCAAGTAACCTAACCTAACCTCTTAGTGTAGTCTTTCATATTTAATGCCGTCTTTTGTTCTTTGTTGTTCATTTGTTTCACTTGTGTTTGCATTTGGAGGAAACTGTTGTGGAGAACTCTTTATTATTATTATTTGTCCGCTGCCCCGAGAGAGGGAGCTACCAGCTTTCTCCCTCTTCCTCTCTGGAGGAAAATTCGAACTGGTTACTCTGTTCCTGGCTGTCGTCGGTGAAGCACGCACTCACCTCTCTTTCCCTCCGTGATGTTATCGTAGCTGTAATCTGACTTTCTTGATTTTTACTCATGCGGACCTGCGAACTGTAAAAATGCTCATCTTGTAACTACATCAATGTGATTGTGTATAAGTGAATATATGTTAAAATATATGTCATCTTAGAATTAAATATAAATGTTAATATTACCGAGTCAGATTTTGTTAACATTCAACGTGCTATCAAAAAAGGCATCCATTAACAACAGCCATAAATGGTGACTCGTCAAGTTAGTGAACACGTGCCTCCTGTAACCTGCTTGCATCCTCAAGTTCTGTGATTATAATGTGCTATGAAGTGAAAAATTATTTCTGTTCATGCAAACTACTAGCGTAATCCATCATTATTTTCGTGTTATCAGCAATATAATGTGAAAAACAGTTGTGCCTGCTTAACAACGTGCTTGTGAATTATCATGTGTCTCATGCAAATCGTTAAAGTGCTTTGAAGTGATCTCAATATAAATCGTACAACGTGGTTACATATCATAAATAAGCTTTTTCGGAATATTTTTTTCTAAAGTGAATTGTGTTGTGCTGAATCTGCTGCTGACTGAGCAAGTATTTCTCGTATAATTCGGAGGTAAGCCACGCAATTCTTAGTATTACTTATGCTTATATTCGGATAGCTTACCTGCAAAAGTGTTTCTCTCACTTAATGTTTACATTATAAATTTATTTATTTTGTCGTATGTGAACTTATTAGTGACTGATTATTGTGTATTTATTTGTGTCATATTGGCAATATATATTTGTTTTTGTGAATCATGGCTCCACCACAACCCATCGCAGACGATCTTAATATTTCACGTGTTTCCGTCAGACCTCCCCCATTTTGGAAGGTCAACCCTACTTTGTGGTTTGCACAACTAGAAGCCCAGTTTGATATCGCCGGAATCACTGTTGACTCCACGAAATTCAATCATGTGATATCTGCAATCGAATCTGATATTCTCGATAGCGTTTGTGATATCGTTTTACACCCACCTGTGACTGGCAAATATGACACACTAAAATCACGCTTAATTGAATTGCATTCTGAAAGTGAGGAGTCAAAGATACGTACACTTCTTCAAGGGCTAGAACTTGGCGATCAACGCGCCCATCACAATTACTTTGCCGTATGCGAAACCTCGCTGGAGAGACCGTTGGAGAACCTTTGTTGAAATCCCTATGGATATCTCGTTCTCCCGCAAAATACACAAAGTATTCTTGCTGCCTTAAGTGATGATCTTCCCAAAACTCGCAGTTGTAGCTGATAAAATTACAGATCTCACAACTCTCTCTCACATAAATAGTGCTGCTACGGCATCTAACTCTCCCATTGAACAGCAAGTTGCAGAGCTGAGGAAGCAAGGTAAATGAACTTTCCGCTAGCCATCAAAAACAGCCGAGAGCGTTCCTGCGAACGAAGAGACAATCATTCCCAACGCAACAGAAGGCGTAATAGATCCAATGGACGCTATAGACAGTATAAAGAACCGTGCAACAACATTTGTTTCTACCATACTAATTTTGGTTCCGATGCACGGAAATGTGTTTCTCCATGCAATTTCCGGCAGTCGGAAAACTAGATCGGCGATCGCTTGTCGGCCAACGTTGCGACCACCACATTAATCGAATTCTTTTGGCCGATCCATCTTCAAAGCTCACTTCCCTTTTTAATTGACACCGGAGCCAAATTTATCTGTCATTGATTCCCAAGAGTTACAGTCAGCATGCCAAAATACCAGCTGCATTGGAACTCTTTGCTGCTAACGGCACTAAAATTGCAACGTATGGCACCAAACTTTTGACCATCAATTTAAACTTACGTCGCTCATTTACTTGGCCTTTTATTCCTGGCAGACGTCAATCAACCCATCATAGGTGTTTGACTTTCTCACAAAGTTCAACTTACTCATAGACGTTAAAAACAACCGTTTAATTGATGGACAAACAAAACTATATTCTTGCGGTAGACTTCTCTAATGTGAACCCGCTCAGTACTAGCATTCATATTTGATGGGGGTAACTCAAAATTTGACAAAAATTCTTGCCGATTACCCTAGCTTGACGAATCCTTCGCAAACTTTTGAGAGGCCACCAATGTCAACGATTTTCCATCACATTGAAACTAAAGGACCTCCTATTTTCTCCAAACCTAGAAGATTATCTCCAGAATTACTTCAAGCTGCACGTCAAGAGTTTGATTTCTCCTATCAAAAGGCATCATTCAGCCTTCAAAAAAGTCCTTGGGCAAGCCCCCTGCACATGGTTCGTAAGGCTAATGGCGACTGGCGACCGTGCGGGGATTATCGTCGCTTAAATGCCGTTACAATTCCGGATCGCTATCCCGTACCCCATATTCAGGATTGCACTCAAATGTTTTCAGGAAAGAACATATTCTCAACACTTGATTTAGCACGTGCCTATCATCAAATTCCTGTTAACCCTGCAGACATTCCGAAAACTGCCGTCACAACCCCTTTTGGTCTTTTTTGAATTTTGGCTATGCCGTTTGGTTTACGAAATTCAGGCCAAAACTTTCCAACGTTTTATACATGAAGTTTTATTTGGATTGGATTTTTGCATCCCTTATTTTGACGACATCCTTATTGCATCGACTAGCGAAGAAGAGCACATCCGTCATCTTCGTCAAGTGTTTGATCGTTTGAATAAAACATGGTTTGACATTAAACCCTAACAAATGTGTACTCGGAAAACCATCTGTTTCATTTTTAGGTTGCCTCATTACTGCCTCAGGTGTAAAACCCCTGCCTGAGAAAAAAAAAAAAGCAATTGCCGACTTCCCAAAACCTACCACTATTGTCGAGCTCAGACGTTTTTTAGCCATGATAAACTTTTATCGCCGCTTCTTACCAAAGGCAGCCGAGACCCAAGCTTCAATGAATGAACTCTTAAAAGACTCACGTAAAAATGATAAACGCCCTGTTCCTTGGAACGACGAACTTAATCAGGCATTTGAAAAATGTAAACACGACCTTAGTAATTGCTGCAACTCTCTCCTATCACTCTCCTAACCAAAAGCTGAGTGTTAAGGTCGACGCTTCTGACATTTCCATCGGAGCTGTCTTAAACGTTCGACATTCTAATGACTACCAGCCGCTAGGATTTTTCTCACGGAAGCTGTCCCCTACAGAACAAAAATACAGCACGTATGACAGAGAATTATTAGCTATTTACGCAGCTATTAAGTATTTCAGGCATAATCTTGAAGGTCAACACTTCACTATATTACTGATCACCGACCTCTAACTTATGCATTCTCATCAAAATCAAATTCTGCTTCCCCAGGACAAATTCGGCATTTAAATTATATAGCTCAAATCAGCACTGATATTCACCATATATCAGGTTCCAGCAATGTCGTCGCAGATACTCTCTCACGTATTCAGGGCATCGATGCCAATGCACCCTGGATTTCACGCTTATTGCTCACTCGCAAGCCACTGATGAGAGAATTAAAACGTCTGAGTGAAGACCCAAACTGCTCATTGAAATTCCAGTCATTACAACTTACTCGGGATTTCCAACTATTGTGCGATACCTCCTAACAACAGACTTGCGACCTTATGTACCACTTGAGTTCAGGAAAAAAGTTTTTGACTGTTTTTCCATAATCTATCGCACCCAGGTATCCGAGCTTCCAAAAAGCTCATACAAGAAAGATTCGTTTGTCCATCCATGCTAAAGGACATTGCCAACTGGACTCATTCCTGCATTCATGTGCCAAAGTTCAAAAGTTACCCGGCACACACATAGCCTTTTGGAAAAAAATCGTGATGCCCATCCGAACGATTCGACCATGTTCCATATAGACATCGTCGGTCCTCTGCCACCATCTGACGGTTATCGATATCTACTCACCTGTGTTGACAGATTTACTCGTTGGCCTGAAGCTTTTCCCATTCAGGACATCTCTGCTGACTCTGTGGCTCGACAATTCATCTCCGGTTGGATTGCACGATTTGGTGTACCATCAGTTGTGACTACTGATCAAGGTCGACAATTCCCAGTCACACCTTTTCGCTTCTCTGACATCTATGCTTGGAATACGCCGAATTCGCAACTTCACCATACCATCCTTCCGCCAACGGCTTAGTGGAACTCTTACATCGCGACCTGAAAGCAGCCCTGAAGTGCCGTAATGACACCCGTTGGACTACTTCACTTCCTCTTGTGCTTCTTGGTTTGCGTTCTTCTTTCAAGCAAGACCTCGCAGGTACATCCGCTGAACTTGTCTACGGCACACCCCTTCGATTACCATCTGAGTTCTTTCAGCCATCCTCTGCTCCAGTCGATCCAGCATCCTTTGTCCAGACTTTCCGAGAGGCGATGAAGAAGCTGTCTCCGACTCCTACTTCGTGCCACAACAAATCTGCCCCTTTCGTGCACCACGCACTTGCACTCACGTGTTTGTGCGAAACAATGCGGTCAAACCACCACTCACTCCTCCATATGATGGACCCTTCAAGGTCTGTGCACGTAACAACAAACATTTCACCATTCTCATGCACGACAAGGAAACCGTTCTGGAGAAATAGATCAAGACTGAAGCCTTCGTTCTTTCGAAGCTTCAAACACTCAGATTCCTGTGACCAGCAATCCTCCTGACTTCCCCGTTGTTTCATTCCTGCTCATCCACCTGTTTCTCCAGATGCTCCTCCTTCGACCGAACCTTACGCTTCCTCCCTCTGCTCCACCAGTTCGTCACACGATCGGGAAGACGTGTGCGCTTCAACACCAGATATTTGTGAACTGATTTTTTTCATCGTACCTTTGGTACTCGGGGGGGGAATACTGTGGAGAACTCTTTATTATTATTATTATTGTCTTCACTGGCCCAAGAGAGGGCGCTACCAGCTTTCTCCCTCCTTCTGGAGGAAAATTCGGAACTGGTTACTCTGTTCCTGGCTGCTGTCGGTGAAGCACGCACTCACCTCTCTTGCTGCCTTAAGTGATGTTATCGTAGCTGTAATATGACTTTCTTGATTTTACTCATGCGGACTTGCGAACTGAAAAATGCTCATCTTGTAACTACATGCAATGTGATTGTGTATAAGTGAATATATGTTGAAATATATGTCATCCTAGAATTAAATATAAATGTTAATATTACCGAGTCAGATTTTGTTAACATTCAACGTGCAATCATCAAAAATGGCATCCATTAACAACAGCCATACTGTTATGGGTGGGGCCTACACTGTTGTTCAATGCATTACGATTTTACCATGTACGTAGTAATTTTTACCGTGTAGTCAAATTAAAATTAGCCCCAGCATTTTTCAGTCCTTCGTGCACAGTTTCTAGGTGTGTTCTAGGTATGTGAATCAGTAGCTTTTCTTACATATATAGCATTTTGGCGCTGTTAGAAGTTACGGCAATACTTGCAGCTTTGCAAAGCCTGGGGGAATTTCCTTTTCAGGAAGAGCTATATAGTGAAAAGATTGTGGAACTAGCAAAACCAGTGATTTCCACGCATAGATCAATTCCACTTCTGAAAGGACACGACATCAACCCAACCAAGAAGTTACTTTTACAGGAAGTACCATTTGCAGTGTAACACCTGATGCGGGTTGCAAATAACGTAGTTAAGTCAATACAATAATAATAAGGCGTTATTTATGTTCTGTGAGCTGGATTTTCCACAATATCTAACTATGAAACAAATGGGTTCCTAATATAAGCGCTTTAAGTTTATTATAACTCTAAAATATATAAACATAAACTTTTGTGTTTATTTCTGCATATTTTAAACCTGGTTCTGGTTTAAACTCAAAGCTTTCTTTCAAAATGGATATAAATTCAACTGTTTTAATCTAACCCTAGAAGAGACGACAGGCGTTACCTAGATATCCACTGATACTCCTTACGCCTCAAATCATTCGATGCTGTTGGAACACCTCTTTGTGTTGTCTGTAACAACTTGTAAGTTGCTGCCAGCGTCACCAATTGTCATCGTCTTCGTCACTGTGCAGTCTATCTTGCCACATGCAATGATCTTCCAAATCACCAAAAACATTAGACATACTCGTATTCTTAAAGATCTTCCCTATAACTGTTTCTTCAGTTATAGATCCATGCATCCAAAATCCATCAGCAAATCAGTTGGCAAGACGAAAACAACCGTTACGTGGGCAGAACATTTTAAAATTTAGAA